AATCCCTCCTCTCTCCCTCCTCCTTCCCCCACCATTTTTGCCCTAGCCCCCTCCGTCCCTTCTGCAACCCTCGTGGCGGCCGAAGCTCCTCTCCGGTCTCACGCCTCGACCCCTCGCCTCCGCTCGCCGAGATCCTCCGTGTCCACCGCCGATCCCAGCGCAGCCTCCGCTCGACCCCTCGCCTTTGTTCCCAACCTAATCTCTCCTCCCCCAGACGCCACATCAAACCCCCCTCTCCATCCCTCAGGTCCATCATCCCCCACCATCTATAGTGCTGTCGTTCTTGGAAATTATTGTACTTTATGTCTTTTCATACAACTTGTGCATGTGTGTTAAATATTTCATTCATCTTTTTCTGCAGGGAAATTTATCGTGGTTGTTAAAGTTATACGCGTTGCTTATTAAGGTTACGTGTTGGTTGTTAAGGTTATACGCGTTGCTTGTTAAGGTTACGTGTTGGTTGTTAAGGTTATACGCGTTGCTTGTTAAGGTTACGTGTTGGTTGTTAAGGTTATACGCGTTGCTTGTTAAGGTTATATGCGTTGGTTGTTAAGGTTTCGGGTTGCTTGTTAAGGTTACGGGCTGCTTGTTAAAGTTACGCGTTGGTTGTTAAGATTAACCGTAACCTTAACAAGTAATCCGTAACCTTAACAACCAACGTGTAACCTTAGCAAGCAACCCGAAACCTTAACAACCAACGCGTATAGCTTTAACAACCAACACGTGATCTTAACAACCAACGTGTAACCTTAACAAGCAACCTGTAACCTTAACAACCAACACGTAAATCGTTTGGCTTTTGAAAATTCGTAACATTAACAACCAACGCGTAACCTTAACAAGCAACCCGAAACATTAACAAGCAACCCGAAACCTTAACGAGCAACCCGAAACCTTAACAACCAACGCGTATAACTTTAACAACCAACACGTAACCTTAACAACCAACGTGTAACCTTAACAAGCAACCTGTAACTTTAACAACCAACACATAAATCGTTTGGCTTTTGAAAATTTCATTAAAATTAAAAGTGAAATATTATTACAAAATCTAGCTCACTCCCACTACCTAAAACAAATGTATGCATCATCGTCTTCTTCCTCTACCCTGTCAACGGTCTCAAAACCATGGCAGTCCACCTCCTCATGAGTGTTGAGTGGTAAAATGAAAGTAATCATACATTGCACAGTTTTATGTGGTGCTGTAAGCATGAATTTTCTGAAGAAAAGTATAGAATTGTTACTGCTTTTTATTTTATGAAGTTATGAATTATTATAGTAGAAGTACAAAAAATTAAAGCTTTTTTTTTTCTATTTCCTTCCTTTTTTTTATTTTTATGAAGGTTTTACGAGTTGCTTGTGAATGTTACGGGTTTGCTTGTTAAGGTTACACGTTGGTTGTGAATGTTACGCGTTGATTGTTAAGGTTACGGGTTGGTTGTTAAGGTTACGGGTTGGTTGTTAAGCTTAATCTTCACAATCAACGCGTAACCTTAACAAGCAAACCGTAACCTTAACAAGCAACACGTAACCTTAACAAGCAACCCGTAATCTTAACAACCCGTAACCTTAACAACCGTAACCTTATCTGCAAATAGAAAAGATAACTATCATTGGGTACATGTATATTAAACGTGAAGAAAGAAAATACCGTTGATGCAAGAGAGAAGAGGCATTCTTTTTCGAACAGGAAAACTTATTTTGAAGGGGGAAAATAAAAAAAGAAAAAGATCCCAAAAAGAAAACATGTGACAGGAAGAAACTCTGTTGCTAGTAAATCTAGATGCATTAGTTTCAGAAGCTACAAAGCAACATCAAGTTCGCACGTGTCATTACGAGATCAATTCAATCATTAGCCATCTCTCTGCTCCTCTTCGCTAGGTTGCGCTCCAGCTTGTGTGCATTCTGGTGTCCTCCAAGAGCTTGGGTGCTGTAAAAAGTCTGTCTGCAATAGTTACACGAGAAAACTCGTGCGTGCTCGGGACGAGGCCCAGGCTGCAGGGACAGGTTAAGGTTGAGGTTCTGAGCTTCATGAAATATTCTCGGCGAGCAAAGGCCGAGGGGTCGAGCGAGGGGTCGAGCGGAGGCCGCGCTGGGATCGGCGGTGGACACGGAGGATCTCGGCGAGCGGAGGCGAGGGGTCGAGGCGTGAGACCGGAGAGGAGCTTCGGCCGCCACGAGGGTTGCAGAAGGGACGGAGGGGGTAGAGAGAGAGAATGTGTATTATAGTCTTTACCTGTGTAAAATTATTGGGCTTTGTGTTTTGGGGGCTCAGAGCACAGTTATTACGAATTTGGGGGTTTTTAGAGCGTTGAAAAAGTCTTGGGAGGGGGAAGCATATTTGTTACGAATTTGGGGGCTGGAAGCATTTTTCCCATATATCTATCTTGATAGCCTTTCGATATTAGTCTCTTAAATCATTAGAATAGTCTCACAAATTATTGAAATTGCTATTAAGTCCCCAAATTCTTATTAGTTGCCTTAAAATTAGCCCTTCAGATTGTTGAAATTGTTATTAGGTCTTCTAATCCTATAAGTTGTTCCAAAATAATCCCTCAATTAATCAAGAGCTATAACGGAAGTTACAAGAGTTGGGGGGTTCTGATAGCAAACTTTAATGTTTTGAGAGACTAATTGCAAAATATTAAGGAGTTAGAAGGGAATAATATCGAAAGAAAATCAATTTTTGGATATCCATTGTTAGATTCTAAAAGGTAGTTTAACAAGAGGGTTATAGTTGATTTAGTTTGCGTCATCTATAAACTTATGCATGATTGTTATTCTCTCTTCTTTTAATATGAAAACAGAAATAAATGTAGCTAAGGACCTTTTACAGGATTATTCTTTTCCCAAGATTGGCTAAAGAACCTGGGCTACCAGAGGTGAGAGAACGGTCGGCTGAGCCGGTTTTTATAATTTTTGACAAAGACGAACCAAAGGATCCTAAGATGGTATTTGGGTAGGATTGTTTTTTGAAGCTTATATGCTAGCTTTTAGTGGCTTTTGATTTTTATGATAAAAATATTATAAAAAATTATTTAGGTATTATAGTAATTTGTTTGGTTAAATCTAAGCTTATTTAGATGAGCTTATAAGTTAGTTTTTCAAAAGCTGATGTATACTAGCTTTTTAAAATATGGTTTATAAGCTAACTTATTGTGTATTTTACCAAATATGTAGAAATAAAAAAATCAGCTTAAAAGCTAGTTTAATCAAAAAATAAGCCGCCCTAAACACCCTCCAAATTCGAAACTGAAATTGCTCTCATTTAATTAAGAGAAAATGTTATTTTAACCCAAAGGAAAGGCACATGTTAAAAAAATAGTGAAATGTAGATCAAGAGACATATATACACAATGAAAATAAGTTGAAATATTGAATAACTCAGGAAATATAGAAAGAAAATTTGTGGACCAACCAACAGAAAGAAATAGTATGTTTTAGATAATTCAGAAAGTGGTCGGTTATGTTTGTTCGAAATGAGATTTTCTCAAGCTGAACCATCCAAAACATATTCTAGAATCAAATATAATCATGGAAATTCTGTCCGCTCACTCGATTTAATCAGTTTGAGCAATTAATGATCAACGGTACTGTTATAGTCGTTCTAGTTCTAAAAAGTAATCTCTAATCAATAGTAGACAAGTGTCCCGCATTATGCGTGATCGAGCCAACTTTTCACTTCAAGGTAACCAAAGACCCGGCTCGAACGACTGGACACGCCGACATCTCCTGAGGACGACTCAAAAGACGTTACATGTCAACCCCTTGCTGGGCCGACTTCTTGACCAACCTACTCGGCTGACCATTCGGCTGACATCTCGTGAGGGCGACTCAAAATGCGGTACTTCTCAACCTTCTACAGGACGAATAGAAAGGCAACAACTACCTCGAGGCTTGAGCCCCCTCCCGTGCATTAACATCTAATCACCTCCTAATAAATGTTATTAAATGCATTATGGACACCATCATTTCTCTACCCCCAATAGTCTTTATGACAAATCGGACCACGTCAGCACTGCATGCCCCCAATCACTTCACATTAAATGTAGAAATGACCTCTCCTTCACTCGTCGACCGATACATGTAAAGCAGATGCTGACTTGGCTGCCAACTCATACTCTGTCAAAATTACCATCCTACCCACTACTATAACTATAAATAAAGGTACTATTTTCAACAATAAGGTAAGATTTTCATCTCTAGCTACTGTGCTTAGGAGCTTCTACAGTTCATTTACTTCTTCACTCAAGCATATTACTGATTTGATTGTCGAAGGAACAACTAGGGAACCCAACCTCACCCACTTACGATTTGTTACTTGTTACCTCAGAACCGGACATTCAGAGGGTTAGAGGACCTCCGTCAGCTAAACAGCTTTTTCGATTGGCTGTTTGATATCAGCCATCAACACGTACTGGGTAAGTTTTTGGTCTACCTTTTATGATTATTATATGGGAAATATGATTCTAATGAGCCACCTTAGATTAAATCTAAGAATGCACTTCTCAATGTATGGATTGGGTTATTTTAATGGACGATCTGCTCCATTCATCATGATCTAAATATTTTAAAACATCCACAAATTAAAAATCATGATGTTTTAATATTTCTAACACGTATTTTTCATTGTTTCTTTGGTTGTGTTGTCATAAAACCCTTATTGTTATTATCACTTGATACATTAGTAAATACAACCCAATGTACCTAATTTTTTGTTCATATGTCATCTGAATCATATAGTTCAAAATCAATGGAGTGGAACAAGTAAATTGCTTGTCTATAATCTAATTTTAAAGGTGCATTCTTAGATTCAATCTAAAGTGGCTTATTAGAATCATATTTCCTTTATTATGTATATAATTAGCATTTCTCTACATACGGCATCAGGGGTCCCGTAGCTCAGTTGGTTAGAGCGTTGGTCTTATGAGCCGAAGGTCGCGGGTTCGAGCCCCGCCGGGACCATCTTCTACTATTTCCATAAAATATTTGTTAATATTTTTCCAATTTTTGATACAATAATTTTCTATTTAATATATTCATCCCACATTTCATATACAACTTTAATAAATGTCTAAGCCACAACGGTCATCGAATAATACGTTTTCTCTGTTCCGTTTATTTTCTTCATTATCCTCTAATTCAATTTTAGATCTCCTCTTTGCAACAATGACCTTTTTAATATTTTAAGGTAAAAAATAACAAATACGTTAATCCCGGATGGGGGTGGGCATGTGCCGATTAGAACCGCAGGCCGAATTGGCCCAGCCCACCTTGGTTCAAGAACCGGCCTGATCCATACACGAGACGTGGTTCGGATTGGGTTCCACCGTAAACCCATGGGCAAAGAATCGACCCAGATTGCCTTGGGGGATGGTTATATTTTTTTCAGCAGAAAGTTCCAATCCATCCTAATTATAGGTTTGAAATTAATTCAACCTAGCCCAATTTCATGATAGTTACCCTAACAATCAGCCCATCCCATTAAAAAATCCAACCCGTAGGCCATAATCCTTGGGACAGACTAGTACGTAGTAACTCATACTTTTCAATGTAAATTTTCTATTTTTCAATACTCTGATGTTCAACTAAAACTCTCCAATATGTAATTGATATGTTATTAGGTCACAACCTCATAAACAACTCACACGCTGTAAAAGAATAGACATATTTAAAATAGAATTTTACTAATATAGTTATTTGATAGGATATTAACCTTTTTTTTACAGCATACCATATAAAATGCAACTCAATTGAAAATTATAACGTTTAAGGGTTTGAGTTGTAATTTTAATAGTAGTAGAGATTTTCAGAACTCTATTCAATATTTTGATGAATATTTGTAGTCATTTTGGTTTATTTAAAATGTAAAAATTATTATGAGCCTTTTGTTCTGCTCGGAATCGAACACCAAAAATCATTGGATTCCATATTGGACCACCCTACACAATTCAGGTCTCGCCGTGGTGGTTACATGTTTCCAGCTTTAAACTATATAATATATATATATATATATATATATATATATATATATATATATATATATATATATATATATATATATATATATATATATATATATATAATACAATATCGCAAAAAATTGTATAACAGAAAATATGAAATAGAAAACAAAAGAATGCAAGCCGCCCAACAAAGTCTTCAACCAGGCCTGCCAAGGTCTGAACGCGGCTCAGACCCAAACTGACACGAGCTAGTGGCGACTAGGGTCCAAGCCAGCGTCGGTCAGGTGGCGGATGCCATGAAATTTAGGCGCGGGGCGGCGGAGAGGGGGGGGGGGGAGGATGGGGATGGTACCATAAAAGATTAAATCCATCCCCTTCGAATATAGAAAGATATTTGAGCCTCTTTTAAGAAATAGCGTTCATTGAGTTACCGATGTTGGTTCCATTAAATTTTCATATCTTAAAATTAGTCCGCCTCAAAATCACTATTCATGGTCTCCTCAATACTTTTGACTTCTATTTTTAGATTAGGCCCCCCCCCCCCCCCCCACACACACACACACGACCACACACCCAGTCGCGCCCATGCCCTTGCGTTAGCGCCAGCGGCCGACGTCATATGTCCGGGCGGCCAGCCTCACGCTCGACTTCGTAACAGCTCTCAGTCGCGACTTGGTGCCACGTCAAGACATATAAATATCTATTGGAGAAATTAAATTTTAAAAAAAAAAATTATGAGAATTGGAAGAGCAAATAATAGTCCACAACAATAGAATTTACTTGTAATCTCTTCAATTGCTACTTCTGCTCGTGATTGGAGTGATTAATTTCAAAATAAGTTACGAATTGAGGAACCTAATATGAACTTTTGAGGGTTTTATTTCAAAATAACCTTAGAATTGAGGCACCTAGTAGCAATTTCCATGATTTGAGGGATAAATTCAAAATATGAAAGATTTAAGTGACCAATATGGAAAAAATCCCAATATTGACCATATGATACTAGGGGTGCTAAACCGTATCCTATGAGGAAATATATGTAACCGTATCTGTTAGGATACAGATATGGTTACTCAAATCTATAACCGATAGAATATGGTTACTGATATGGTTTTGTAGTGAAATACCCATATCCGTATCTGAAATATCCGAATACATATTAATCATACTCTTATGATAGTTTCGATTCTTAGATTATGGATTTGTGGTTAATTTTGATGATCAAGATGTCTAATCTTAACTTTTCAGTTATAATGAACATATTAACGAACTATTTTGTATCGCATGAACTATGTTTTTCTCAATACTATCTAGTTTTCTCATATCCGTTTTGTATCCTTATGCATATCCGATTATATATTTGTAACCGTATCCGATTTTAGCGGATATGTTTATGAATTTTCCTTACCGAGGTCTATCCGTATCTGAGATGGGTAAGCAGATATGGATATGATAAGCATCACATCCGAGCCGTATCCGGACCGATGCACCCCTATATGAATGATACTCTTCTTCTCTTTTTTTTGGGGGGTAGGGGAAGGTGGAGTCGAGGTGGTTACTGGCTCCGCTTTTGGGCTCGGTCCACGCCCACTTCTAATCCAATGTTCCAAAATTAAGGAGGGGGCCTTCCTTATATAGACTCCAAATTCTACATGTAGGAGAGCATATCCAAATCTTAACCTAGGTGTTCCAAAATCGAAGATTAACATTTAGGAGAGCATATCCAATCATTTGGCCCACTGTTTTTTTATAATATATATATTCTTTTTCTATACCTACCGAAGCCTTCAATTTTTAACGAGTAGCCAACAAATTTCCAATCTGGTAAGAAAATCAATCTTTTGTTACAATCAAAATGCTATACAACATCAGTGAGATCATAAACATGAAATTCACTTGAATTTTTTTCTTTTTCTCCAAGCTACATGAAGGTGAAGAATCAAAACTACCATCTAGATTTTCCATCAAGATTGAGCACAATGTCAGTTACATTCGGGGTTTTGACCAATTTCAACCAAACTAACCCGAACCATACTAGATTCAGGCCCAAACATATAACTAAACCAAATAAACTCGGATCAATTGTATAAATTCCTTCAAACCGATTCAATCCCTTTACATCCTGAACTTAAATTAATGCTCACCTCTGCTACCCACAGCCTCCGATATATTTTCCAACTCAACTCCACCCTTACCAGCACAAATAATATCAACACTAGCTCTACAAGTGGGACAAACGGCAGCCCTCAAAAGCCAAGAATCAACACAATCAACATGGAAACTATGCTCGCATTGAGGCAGCATCCTACACTTGTCTCCATCCTCGAACACCTCCAAACAAACAGCACACTCCGACGCGCTCCTCCGTCTACCTCTCATCGCATAATAATAACAAGGCAACTTCTTCAAGTCGTCGTTAGATAACCCGCTTCCTTCGCTGCTGCTTCTCTCCCGTCGTCGTCCGTCGCCGTCGTCGCCGTTGAAGTTTCTCCCCTGCAGGCGGCGACCCAAGACGCAGACGTGGACGAAGGCTAGTACGCCTATGCCGATGAGTAGGAGGATGATCGATATGATTATTGCCATGACTAGAATTTGTACTGCGATCCCGACGAGTTTGGTCTTCATTGTGTGTGTGGTTCTTGGATTCGGATTTGGTTGGGATTAAGACTTTTTTTTGTTTGTGAAATGTTTGATGGGTGAGGTTGGATGGAGAAGGGAATGAGGAGTGGGTTGTGGGGGGTGTGGAGTGGTTGCCTAGTTGGTGTTGGATGAGGAGAATTTAAGTGAGGTAATTAAGGATGTGATATATCTCATTTTGTTGAATTCTCTTCAGAGTTATTTCATTTTCTTTTTTATTATTATTTTTGAACAAAGGGTGTGGCGTACACCTTAGCCTGAGGACATGTTTGGATGTTTTTTACACGAGTTTTGGAGTTACGGCATAAAAAAAAATGATAAAACTGGACGTCCGCGGTTATTACTTTACTATGTTTGGTTTGAACTCCACTGGATTTTTGAAAAGAATTTTCGTTTTCAAGTACGCAACCCAACAGCGAAAAAAAATAGAGAATTAATTGTGGGCTCCACAATTTGATGAGTTTCTGACTTTTTCCTTCAAATGCATACAACCAAACGGGCTCTAAGAGCAAGTCCCCCCAGTTGGGAGTCCTACTCAGCAAGCTCTCAAGAGCTCAAGTATTTTAGAATAAAAACTTAAAAAAATAAGCCTCGGGAGGCTATTTTTATTTTATGGACCTCCAACAGGCTCCTAGTTAAGAGCTCCAACAATATCATAAAAACCCCTCTTCTATTTTAATTTTTTACCCATTGTTTTCAATTATATTTAAACATCTTTTATTTTATTTCTAACCGTTGGATATGGCCTTCGAGGGAACGCACACAGAAATGGCAAAATATTAATAAAGCAGGTGTATTCATTCAAGGCCAAAATTAGCAACTGCTAGTACAAATCATAAAGCTACTACAAGATAATATTTGATAATTAGGAAGAACTAATGAGGATGTGATGCGAGTACAATAATTTGATAGGAAAATATAGAGTTTTTTTATGAGAGAGTTGTGTGGAATCAATTGAGAATTTATAGAATTTTTTACTGTTCATGTCAATTTTTTAAATCCCAACGGCTAATTTTTAAACAATCATTTCGAAACTGGGTTCTGTGTTCAAATATTGGGGTTTTTTTGTAAAAAACAAATTTTTTTAATAGTTGAGAGCTCCTAAGCGCTCCACAAATTTGTGAAGCGCTTGGGAGCTCCGTGGCACGAGCTCCAAGGCCCCTTCTTGGGAGCTTGCTGGATCCGTCTGCAACAGGCTCATACTGTCAGCTCAGCGTTGGGAGCTGGGGTGAAAGCCTGCTGCACTTGCTCTTATCCATCTCAAATTTCACAATGCATAAGAACCAATTAAAGAACTTGTAGTTGATCATAATTATCCATCGTATTAGAAGGACCCATTAGGTTTTATTAGAACACTTTTAAGACGATCAACAAGAGGACGGATGAACAGGATGCAGCTCATTCTACTTCTGAATGCAGCGTCAGGCTCCACATTATCCAAGTAACTCTTGAAGGGGGGAAAATGATTTTTGTCGGCAAGAAGACGCTTAATAAGAATTATCAAGGATCGCGAGACCTTGGGAGAGTGATGTGAGTCACATGTTCTGGTTTAATTTTGTTGGTCCTCACCACATTGTTGGATTGCGTTTGCCTCTCTTTAAAGGCACATGAATGCATTTGATGGTATAGGTTAGAATCGACCTCTTTTTGCTGCTTTTGGGAACAAAGGATAGAGTTTGGACCAAATGACACTTAATACTCTATTCTTTCCTCATATTTATATTTAAATATTCTAATTTGTAAAAATAGCGCTTTAATTATCTAAGTTATAACAGATAGCACTTTCATACCTTAAATTGTTAAAAAAATAACACTTAAATAACCTATCGTTTCACTACCTTTATACTTAAATACCCAAAGTTCAAAAAATTATAAAAGAATAGCATTTTAATACCTATTGTTAGTTGTCAGGATATGTTCTTAGGAACATTTCCATGACAACTACCAAAAAGTACTAATGTGTCAATTTTTAACAACTAAGTATTAAAATGCTTCTTTTTACAACTTAGGGTATCTAAATGTAAAGGTTGTGAAACAATAACATATTTAAGTGCCATTTACCCTAGAGTATGGATGTAAAATGAACAAATTTTGTTTGAACCACTAATGTTTAAGAGCTAAAGTTTAATTGAAAATTTTCAAAAGAACTATATATATATATATATATATATATATTTTTTTGAGAGAAGACGGTGGGTGTATTATCCTGCAAATAGTGGACCATGATGTCCCTACTACCAGTCACCGACCACAGAATCATACAGATCAGATATATTGAAATTGGTACCAAATAAGTTGTTTTGCTAGCATTTTACATGGATTCCTTGACCTCAAACATACCAGATATATTGAAATTGGTACCAAATAAGTTGTTTTGCTAGCATTTTACATGGATTCCTTGACCAAGCAAGAAATGTCTTATCTTTAATGAGGACGTGAATACTTATTCCATGCCACTTATATACCACATACCAGGTAATGCAGACATATGACACAAATTACCAACAGAACAGAGGAGATCGAGCAATGTTGCATCCATCATCACTTCCATCATCTTCCTCAGAGTGGACCCCGCCACCACCCACAGCCTCCACGATGCAGTGGCCGCTGAAGGTGTTGTGGAAGTAGGACTCTGACCCACTGCTGCTGTCGACGAGCTGCAGGCTGTCTCCATCCACCATGCCACCCATTCTGCTACCTGTGACAGACTCACCAGCAGGCTCGGCCACAGTGAGTTCCTTGGTCTGGAGCTTCTCAGCGAGGGTGGTAATCTATGAATTTTGATTACCAATACTTCTCAGATTATTATCACGAGGGATTTGGACCCTCTATGTTACTTAAAAGAAATGCAAAGATCACTAATAAACAATATCCATACAGATGTGTTAACAATAGGACACTTGGTTCCTCTCTACTACCAAATGCAATGGAGGGTGTACATTCCAATCAAAACCATCAACTAATACATAGACGACAGCAGACTCGTTGCAATTTAACACTTATCGTATACCCACTGATTCGCACCCATGTTCATTCTTCCGTCGTGTCGAATCATAATTGTCACGACAGAAGAATTGCAAGGATACTTTGTTGTTGTGGTTTCTTCATAAAATTCTCGTGTCATTGGACAACGTGAAGAAAGGCTAAGCTTGAGGCGGTAGCCTCCATCAACACTCTTTTTTAATCATAACCGTTACATGATATAGACACTTATGATTCATCCTTAATGTAAGTATATTATATTCCTTATGATCTTTCTCAAGATAGATCATAATTAACTATTAAATAATAATCTGTTGTGATTGGGAAGTGTCACTCGAGATTCTAGTAATAATGAAGAGAATCCAATTCCACAGTGAGTACAACCAAGATGAACCCATTCTATATTGTTAGAAACAAATCTCAAGGACCATGATATAATGGAAATTAATTATGCGTATAAATAATTTTTTTCAAATGCAGAAAAATCAGAATTGTATTTGTATCTTGGTCCTTCGAATCTAAAATCATTAGGTCATTGGTGTTAGTCTATGGTATCACTGTCGATCCTGTTTATTCATATGTACAACTATCATACCCTGTCACTTGCAAATTGCAAAAAGACCACATATATCAACTATTATACCCAGTCCAAAGTACAACTTTTATCGGGATATGTGCACATAGAAACAAGGTATTTCGAGTTATTCACAGAGAGGATAGTGGGGCAATTTGGGATTTTAAACCGTCCTCTTTATTATGGTTCACAACACTCCACTCTTATAGGGAGTATTGTGATGAATTAGAATTCCCATCCCAGTGCCCCAAGTGCCAAGTGTGTCAACCACGAATCACAATATTAAAGCTCATACATTAACTCAGCAGTCAGTGATAGTAGTCAAATAGTAATAAGAAGTGTTGTATGTATATACATACATCCTATGCACTCACTATTAAAACTTGTTGAATGTATGTATAATTGTATATACCTGAGAGCGAAGGCGAGCATTATCTGTAAGAAGAGATTCATGATCAGCCAAAAGGGAATCATAAGCCGCCTTCAGACGATCAAATCCTCTCTCTAGCTGCTTGTTCTTCCAACGAGCTCGCCGGTTCTGGAACCAGACGGCCACCTGCCGAGGCTGTAGCCCGAGCTTCTTTGCAAGCTCAGTCTTGCGCTCAGGCTCCAGCTTGGTCTCTGTCTCAAAGCTCATCTCCAGCAGCTGCACCTGTAACATGAACATGTTACACTTGATTACTCATTAATTAGAAATGACCGGGAAAATACATCACTAAGTCATCACATCTTTTATCATAATAAATTACAAAATACAAAAGTCGACACCGCCCATCATGAGAAAGGTTCCACTTATTCTAATTTAGTCATTGTAAGCTTGTGACAGATCCCAGATGAGATCTGTTGATTTATATTATTTTTTAAACTGTGCTTAAAACTAATTAATTATGTTCTTAAAAAGCTTATTAACTTCCCTAAATAAAAGATTAAACATTTTGAACAGTTCCTAACTAATTACCTGCTCGGTAGTGAGGCGACGCTTCTTCTCAGGGAGTTGGTCGTCGTAATACTCTTCCTCAAGAAGCTCTTCATGAGTAGTGAAGAAGGGTCGACGCTTGTTTGCGCTCGCTTCCTCCATGCCCGCCATCCAGCTCCCACCTTCATTTCTCTCCAATTAACAAGTATTAACATGAATAGATACACCAACAATTGAAAAAAAAGTTCATCTCAAACAACAACCAACCACAAAAAAATTGTAAGAATATCTATTTATTGATATTCAATTGAATACAGAGCATCAAAAACTAATGATATCCTCCAGTAAATTACAAAAACTTTTCTGTACTGTTAAAACTTTATAGAGATATTATTTTGTAGCCAACTTCTTAAAACCAAAATGGAAAACATATATTCCTAAGAAATCAAGCGTGTTCTGTCTCATAGTTGATCCCCATAATATGCTGGTTGGAAAAAAAAGTTCAAATTTAACAGTACTTTTCTGTTCCACTGAATGATTAAGTAGAAAACTCTATGACATGGGGCAAAAAGTGTTTGACTTTTTTTTTTTGATGCATCATTGATGACACAAAATCGAGACCCCAATACTTCCTCATAAAACCACAGCCCAAACAAAAGTCAACCAGCCAAAAATTGTAAAAAATATATAAATTTTTTTAAATATTCAACTGTATTCAGAGAATCTTAATCCAATAACAACAACTATCATGCTATCCATCAGTAACTAAAATTTTAAAAGTACCTTTCCTATTCTATTGAATTTCAGATTTAACACAAAATCATCTGCTACTGGATCCAAATTCAATATATCAGCATATCAGTAATAAAAAAAAATTCAAATTTTCTGCAATACCTTGAAAGATCGAGTTCCCAGATCGGCCGAGAAAGAGCATGTGCCCATGGCGAGAAGAAGAAGAAGAGGAAGAGGAATTGAAGATCAGACGGCCAGAATCCATGACTTATTACGCCTCGGATCCAACCAAATTCGATTCTTTTCCCGACGGCTATACAAGAAAATCAGCAGAACGAACTTTATACGAACGAAGGGAGACAAAGCTAGGGTTTTTCTTAGAAGAAGACGATGAACTTATGGCGGAAGAAGCTGGTACTCCACAGAAGACGAGTCGAGATTTTCATCGGGAACAGAGAAAACCCCACCATGACCAACGTCAAAACTAGGGTTTCAGAATGACGGAGGGTTTCTATAAGCGGAAAATTTGGCCGGCATCTTGAGATTCCGCAAGATTCCGGCGGCCGGAGTGGTGGCTGGAGAGATATTACTGTTATTTTTGGGTTTTTTTCCCCCCCTCCCCTTTGTCCTTTTTGTTAATTTTCTCTTGGATGGCTTCTGAGCTAAACGTGATCGTGGGGGAGAGGGCGGTTTTTATGGTGGACTTATGGCCGTTTTGCCCTTGGGCAAGTTGGTTGGGAGACCGAAAACTTCGGTTTCAATCCCTAACTTATGAATTAATTTGCACGGAACCCTCACCTAAAAAACTTATCTCCCTTGAGCTCTAAAAAAGAAATTTAAAGAGACTCTTCACTTCATTCTGTCACTTAGGGCTTGTTTTTTTTTGAACTGATCACTTAGGGCTTGTTTGGATTGAGGGGAATGAGGGTGAAGGGAAGTTAGGGTAACCATTCACCTCCATTCATCTTGTTTGGGAACACTTAGGAGGTGAAGTTAATTCACCTCCATTCACCTTGGTTCACCCCCTAATAGTATAAAAATTGTTACCCCCCAAATTGGAGTGTAACCAAGGGGAAGGGAATTCTCTTCCCTTCCCTTCCCTTCCCTTCACTCAGTTTCCCTTAACTTCCCTTCACCTCCTACGAATCCAAACAGGCCCTTAGGCAAATCTGTCTGCTACTTCTAATTTAAAATCAACTTTATTCATTGCTACAGTAAATACTATTCTCGTTAGAATATTAAAGTTACTGTTTATGCTTAGAAAAAGTCAGCCTATAGTTCGCATTGTGCTTATTTTTTGGATAAAAATTGTTCGTACTACAGTATATTTTTAAATCTTGAACATGCGTTATATTGTATTATTTTGTTAACTTGATTGAAAATTTACTTTCTACATAGTAGAAAAGTTATCGCTGAAATTTTATAAATATTTATACATAAAAATCATATTATGAATTTGATGACAGATATACCTCGGTAAATAATACCCGCAGCAACGCATGGGCTTAATACTAGTATAATAAAGGCAAAAGTGATTTTTCATGTATATTTGCATACAAACTTATTAATTCTCTTCAACCATCTTGTTACAATTTACATGCCTCCTAACTACATCAGCTTTTCTCTTTTCTTTAACGCAAATACTATTACTAATTTTGTATGTAGATTCAGAATAAATAAATAAATATAAACTCTTCTTGTTTATTTAAGTTTTATGACGTACTTGATATTTTTAATTAGGTTCTTCTTTTTATATTTATTTTAAGACTCATGCCTAGTGCTGTAAAGACTCATGTATAAACCTATCTATGGCTAAATACAGATTCCTAGTTTTTCCATGAATTTATTGATTACCTGCATATAAAAACTCTTTCTTTTTCTTTAGTTCCTTTTCGAAAGGCCTTGTCAACTTTTTCAAGTAATGGCAATTTCTTCCAAACATTCTGATAGGTCTATTGTCCATCTTTTTCATGTATCTTTACTAACTTGCAAGTGTGCACCCGTGCAAAGCACAGCCCCTTTTTTTTATTTTTGCTACAATTACTACAATATTTTTTAAAATGCTACAGTTTTTTGTAAATACTATAGTTTTTTTGAAGGTTACAGTATTCTGCTTTGTGTTATAGTTATATTGCTACAGAAATTTTTTTTAAATATTACAAAAGCGTTTGCTGTAGCGTGAATAGTAAATATGTGGATCTTTCTATAAGTATAGAGGAGTAGATAGCTAACACTATTTACAAGTTCATGTGCCATGCTATGACAACTTCCATCTGTGGTCTAAATTCACCTACCTCCCGATCTCGGTATTTGTAAAAAGTAGGTACTTGTAAAAAGTATCTTCCTAATCATCAATTTCAGAGAAAAATACCCTCTAAATCAACAAATTATTAACTTTGTTGAATATAATGTGTACTAATTTGACTATTTTTGATAATTTTACATTGCAAGTCTATCAAAGTTGATGATTTGTTAATTTGGGAAGACTCTCTCTCTCTCTTTCTCTCTCTCTCTCTCTCTTTGCCCCTTCAAAGTTGACGATTTAGGGGATAGTTTTGCAAATAATGGGAGCTGAAGGATAGTTTTGCAAATACTCATGATTTAAGGGGTAAATATACAAAATAAAAATAAAAAACCAAAGAGAAGATGCTGTGGTTCATCGGGTCAGATAAATTTGATGTATATACAAAAACGCGGATGAAATTTGATGAATTGCATATATGTAAGTGCATACAAGCACAAGCACATCACACACGCACGAACGCAATAATAAAGAAAATGGTGATTAAAAAAAAGGGACCCTTGAGCTTCTTTGGTTTTAATGTCAAAGCTATCCACAGGATTGCTCTTATTATATTTATGAACAGGTGTCATCCGGATACAGTATTCTTCTAAGATTTGAAAATATAAACATCTGAATATGTCATTAACCGGTTCATCTTGAAAGAGATCTTGTACGGTCCAGGAACTGGGTTTTCTTTTCTTCCTAAAATTTGAACGTCCATATTCATATATTGTTCTTCCATAAGTTTGCTACAGTTCAAAGGCGAAATTGCACTAGAATACTTTATGTTTCACTAATTTAGAATTTATATACTATCAATTGGTTTTTGAAACATTTACACATCTTTCAAAATTAGCACTTTAGTACCCTTTTTTACAAGCGTGAAAATTTTCACCTGAAAGTCCTACAACATTCATATACTAATCTCATAACTTTCTTAATATAAATTTACCATACTGTTAAATCTATCCAAATTTATTTTTCAAATAGAATTAAAGTATATTTATTAACCGTAAATTTAACAAATGTTAATGACTAAAAATCTCCAAAATTAATATATGGTAACTTTCATGAGAAATTTTTTACTTTTGCATAACAAAGGATACTCAAGTACCAATTTAAACAACTCAGGATGTATAAATGCTCCGAAAATCGAGGGTATATATAAGTGCTAAATTAGTGAAACATAAAGATGTTCCAGTGCAATTTAGCCTCGTCTCAAACCTAGTTTCTGAAGAAACCGCGAACGATTTGGTGAAGAACGGGTTTTGAAGACTGTAGGAGTCACACTTGGAGCTTCACGGTCGACCGCGGCGAAAGGCCGGTCGACCGCGATCGTGCACAGGCCTGAGTATGTGCCTGGATTTGGCGCGGTCGACTGTCGCGGTCGACCGCTAGACCCTGTAAGTAATTTTGGGCTCTGTCGTTTGTCACGGTCGACCGTCGCGGTGGCGGTCGACCGCGTAGCGGGTCAGGCCCATATGTTGGTTTCCTATTCTTATTTGGTTTTGGTGTTTGTATAAATACCAATACACGTTCTAGGGTTCTTAAGGCAAGAGTTTGGGATATTTAGAGCACAGAAAAGAAGTATTTTCTAAGCTATTTGATTAGGGTTTATTTGGAGAGAGTAAGAGCTTTGTTGGTGAGATTAGTTTGTTCCTTCGAGTGATTTGTAATCTCAAGTTGTACTCTTCTTCTCTATTAGTGAAAACCCCATCCCCTTCTTGCCCCGTGGACGTAGGTAATTACCGAACCACGTTAAAATTGGTGTTTTATTTGTGCATTGATATTGGTTGGTTTTGGCCCTCTTTGATCGGCGTTTGGTTTGATTCCTCGACACGGTTTTCAACAACGATTGGGATGTTAGATCCTAACAATTGGTATCAGATCCCAACAATTAGTATCAGAGCTCGGGCTACGCTTGGGCTATTTGGAGGAGTAGATCGATTTGGGAAGCTCGTCTAGGGTTTTAGTTGGTGAGAAAGGTGGGATCATTTGGAGGAGTAGATCGATTTGGGAAGCTCGTCTAGGGTTTTAGTTGGTGAGAAAGGTGGGATCTTTTTAGTAAAGCTTCTTTCTTTTCTCAGTTTCGGATCTATTCTTCGTTTGTTTCCGCATTGGTTGTTGGTGTTTGAGGATTATGGCCAAGAAAGAGGGAGTTGAGGGTGGTTCTTCAGGTGTAAAGAATGTCCAAAGTTTGAGTATCCACTCGATAAAAATTAATGTGGAGAAGTTCAATAGCACTAACAATTTTGGACTTTGGCGATGCGAAGTCTTGGATGCGCTCAATGCGCAGAATTTGGAAGATACGTTGGAGTTGGACGAAAAATCGAACGACATTGATAAGAAGGTTTGGAAAAAGATGAATCGGACAGCGTGTGGTGTGATTAGGTCTTGTCTCACTCAAGATCTAAAATATGATGTGATGAATAAGACTTCAGCTAAGAAGTTTGGGACAAGTCCTAGAGAGCAAGTACTTGACGAAGGAGCGTCGAAAACCTGCTTGCAATTTGAAGCAGGAGGCCTTTAATACCACATCCATTAGTGATCACATGAACCACTACACGAAGCTTCTTGCAGATTTGACGAATGTAGATGTCATTGTTGAAGATGAGGACAAGGTGTTGCTATTGTTGAGTTCCTTGCCCGATGAAGAATACGAGACGTTTGTTCTTACTCTTATTAATGGGAAGACATCTCTTTCATATAGTGAGGTCACCGCTGCATTAGTGAATTACAAACTTAGGAAGAAGGACAATGAGACTTCTATTGAGCCGGTAGCGGGGGCATTGGTTGAAAGAGCAAAGGGTCCAAATCGAGGTAGAAGGTCACAGTCTAGAGGAGCACATCTTGGAATTTGTAGAAATCAGTGTGCTTTTTGTAAAGAAGATGGACATTGGAAAGCTGAATGCCCAAAGTTGAATGATCAAGCCGAGAAGAATAAGGGAAAAGCTATTCAGGTTTCAGATGTGAATGTTGTCAATGCTAGTGGCAACGATTCAGATTCGGATTTTTCGGGCTACTCATTATTTGCACTACCATCAGTTTGTGTTGCCTACTCTACAGAGTGGATGTTGGACTCGGGTGCTATATACCACATTTGCCCTAGGAGGGATTGGTTCTCTAGCTTTTAGGAGTTGGAAAGAGGGGATTTCATGCTTATGGGTAATGATCATGAATGTCCTATTGGTGGAATTGACACCGTTCACATCAGGATGAGTGACGGAGTGATTCAGGAGTTGGTTGGAGTGAGGTTCGTTCCTCAGTTGAAGGAGAACATCATTTCACTTGGAGCTTTGGAGGCAGCAAGCTATAGGGTGACCTTGGCGGATGCACGTTTGAAGGTTACATTTGGGTCTATGATTGTGATGAAGGGCGTCAGAAGGAGTAACTTATACTATTTGCTTGGGAGCACGGTGATTGATAGAGCTCTGACGACTTTATTAGATTTGGCTAGATTGTGGCATAGTTTGGTGTTGGTGTATTTGATTGGTGATGCTGTGCATAGGTTGTTGAGGAGTGCTTTGACCTGCAGATAGAAGTCCTTTGAGCACATTGGGATGAGCAAGACCGTGGTGGAGTTTGATACTTCTATCCATAGAGCGAGGGGTCTTTTAGGAGGTGTTCATTCAGGCATTTGGGGGCCTTCCAAGGAGGCATCATTGGGAGGTAATCGTTTTATAGTTTCCGCAGGTTGTGATTGTTCTAGGCATTATTGGGTCGCAACCAGTTCTCGTTGGTGTAAAGTCCTAGAAGTCAACAACAATTGGAAGAAGTGTATTAGCAGAAAGGTAACTCGTTGTTCTAGCTTTGGTAGGGGTCCTTTCTTGCGTTTGTGCCGAGCTCATGACAACTTGAAACACTTCATTAATGTGGAGACTTTGGGGCGACGAGATGAGATGACAGTTTCGATGGGTCATTCCTTTCTGGAGGATGATCGGCGTTGGTTGTCGAGCATTAGTTCTGGTTCTGGAGTTTTGACATATTTGGGCCATCTTAGTCATAGGTCGCCGACTGCTGCATTAGGAGTTATTGGATCTGGTGGAGCTGCTTCAGATTTTGGTTGGCGTCAGATATTTGGTTACCCAGTGTTTGGTCACATCGATGATGTGAGATTTGATCTGATTGTGCGTTTGGGATTCGAAGGCTCATTTGATTATAGTTTGGGAGCTTCTGATTTTGTTCTGAGCAGGAATATAGTCACGGGTCACAAGACATGATACTCGATCTGGGTAAAGAAATTGGGCAGAAGGATCTATAATTACCTAGTAATGAAATGAACATCATTTGTATTTTTAACCGTTCTTTTACTTTTCTCCAATCACTGCATGCGATGGGAACGTGGAGCCAATGCTGACTGTATATGGTACCATAGGGACCATTAGATACATATTTCCTTTTTCTATCACCAAGCAAGCATCTGGACATGGAATCACTCATCTTCAGCATCTAGGCTCTAGCACACTTTATATTGCGATCTTGCAACTCCTGGTGAACATAGTTACACATGACACACAGCCTGAAAATATCCCTGCATTTTCAAAGTGGTGAGATCCGATTCCACAAAATACAGATCTTATCTCGGAGAGGTGAGATCCCAAATGTCCACCTATTTTAAGCACGAGGAGGTTTTCTTTTAGGATTTGAACTCTTGTTGGGTGATCTAGTCCGGATCCAGCACTAGTACAAAACATAACAGCCCAAACGGTCGGAACCGTTGGAAAAACACAGCCCCAAACGGTTACAACCGCTTGGATGAAAAAAACAACCGTTTGGGCTAAAGTCGTTGGGGGAAAACTCTACCCCAACGGTCGCCCAAACGGTTACAACCGTTTGGAATTATTATCCCAAACGGTTTAAACCATTTGGGCTATTTTGATTTGTCCAAACGGTTCCAATAGCCGTTTGGGCTGTCCTGTTTTGTACTAGTGTGTACGTAGAACTACCAAGCGTTTTTACACAGTATCAAGTGCATATACAGAATTTGTTAAATTTGTATAATAATACTAAAATATCATGTGAATTACAAGGTGATTACGGGGGGTAGATATCGATATCGTTGACAGTTGGTCAGTTTCATATGGTTACAGGAATAATTTAGTGAAACATTACTGTTAATGTTGGTAGTTTAATAACCTTTGAAATTGGGATGGGAGAAGCATGGCCAACCAGAGACAAGCAAGGCAGCAGAAGCAAGAGAAATATTAGTTTCCCCCGTTCATATGTGTGCTGGCTTCATCCAAAATTGCAGGGTCAGCTTCTCCAAAGTCTACCCAGCACCCAGGTCAGTCCTGTCGAATAAAATTTTATCAGAAATATCGTATATCATTTTATTTTTCAAGGATCGAGATGCTAATCTTTTGGAAGTCAAAGAGCAGAAATGTTCTGATGAGATTTATAATCTTATCTATAACCTAGACTTGCAGCAATTATTTGCACCATGTTTCAAACTGACGCCAAGGAAAGATCGTTTCTTGATGTAAATATTGCCAACACTGCAATAGGAGCTTCCATGTAGATATGTGTATTGTGTAATGACAAATATCTGGAATACACAAAATGATCACATATGTAAATACAGAAAAATATCAAGAGAGATATAAAAAGGTTCAGCTTTTGGCCCACGTTAATGGGCGAAGGAGAGTAACACTATGCTAATCAAATTGTGTGGAATACAAAAGGTGAACGACGTTATTTGACCGAATCATTCCTGAAAATTTTGAACTACCTTTCGCTTGTGCTCTTGTACAAAAATTCCATAATGCAAAGATGTAAATTCAACTTTTTTTTTAACTAGATTACAAAAAATACACATATTTACTGAAGGGACAACTAACGCGGAAGTAGCACAACAAGGCCATGTCTTAGGGTCCAACTATTTACACTCCCAAATAGTAACTTTGGGGTGTGTGAGGACTAAATTGCCCTTGTTTTGGATGCGTTTTGTTAATTTTAGTGCACTGTAGAATTTCAAGTTTCCTTTTGAAAATTGTGCAGTAGTAATTGCTTGTGCTCCCTTAATTTTGAAAGAATCTTTATCTTTATCATTACATTGTTGTTGTCTCATTTTCGTTTTTCCTTGAGGATCCAATTTTCTTTGAATTCTCGGTGGAGTCTAGGCTAGCCTTTGGGCGTACCAATATTAATTTCTTTCTTCATATTTACTGAAGATTAGACTATAATCCGTGTCGGTTTATAATCAGTGGGTCATAAAAAATTTTTTAAGTGTTATTAAAAAAATCATTGAAGTGTTATAAAAAAAATTAATCCATTATAATCCGTGGGTCATAAAAAATCATTGAAGTGTTATTAAAAAAATTAATTTTTTTTAGAACATATATAAATGTTGGTTTAATTTTAATATAATTTGAATTTTTAAAATCGTTAATAAAATTTGTTTAAGTGTTTGAAATGTTTGAAGTGTTAGACTATAATGAAGGATAATAATAAAATTTATTAGAAAATCAAAGTATTAATCTACTCAACGAAATACATCAATTGTTTTTTCGATCCTAATTAATTGTTCTTTCTTCTTCTTGTTGCTGCTCGACGTTCTCCATCTTCATTGTGGAGACGGTTAAAGTGACCGATCGAGAATGCAAATTGTGCATCTAAACCATCTGCAGATTTGTCGTGATGGTCGTTCCAGTAAAATGCTATGGGTGGTACCGGATGATCCCCTGGTTTCATATGCAACTGGAAAAAAATGTACAAATATTGAAGTTATATTCTTATATAAAAAATTAAAGTTAAAATTCAACTTGTTTATATGATCGTCGACTAGTGTAATTTTCTTACCAAAATCCAATGATCATTGCTAAGATGTCCGCACACCACCTTTCGGGTTGGAGGTCCTTGTGTTTCATCTAATATCGCTGGCAGACAAGTATTTCCTCCATGTTCACTGAATGTCATGAAAACAACATTATATGTTGTTGCAATTACGTGACCGCAATCCGGTACCGCCATCCAGTAATCATCATCCGCTGGTCCATGGTAGTGAGCAATCGATTGGATGAGATTAGTCACATTAGAACTCCTCGCACTCCTCCCACCTAAGATTCGAGCGTACAAGGCGCTTCTATTCTGTAGATCTGCTACTAAGTCTTGTCTAACTTTAACCCAATCATCTTCTGTTCCGTAAATTGCTAGAGCCACCGCTCTAAATCCACAATTTCCGTCTGCCGCTACATCTGTGCATTGATCTATGTATTTTCTAATGTAGGGCGGGAATTCTCTCTCAAATACAGAATTCTTAAAGATGAACGTGGTGCCTTTGGAAGAAGGGGTTGACATTGGAGGCCTTGAGCACGGAGGATTTGGAGAAGATGGTGATATTGGTGGCCCCGTACGTTGGGATGTGCTCATTGGACTCCCCTGTGATGCAGAGATAGAAGCAACACGTCCAGGGCCCTTTACAAATGCATAGGTTGACAATGTTAAATTGAGAATAATAAATTAGTAACTAATATAAATCATAATTTTCAAATATAGAAATTCATAAGTTATGTAGTATTACCTTTTTGTTTGGAGACTTTTTAAATCCGTACTGTTTCACAACCCTCTCCCACGCCGAAGGTACACGGAGACTAGAGAGCTTTTTACCCTTGGTTTTCTTTTTAGCAGTAGGAGGTGCAGTAATATCAGGGACTTCTTCGAACAACGCCCTCCTCACTGGATTTGGTGGAGTCGGGGATCCATCCGCGGCATCATTAGGAAATATTGGAAACTGAATATCTAACTTTTTCCAATAATCATGTATTTGATCCAACGGAATGCTATACCCATTTATGATGTAGTACTGAAGCTCATGTGCGCACGGTAGACCATGAGTTCTCCTTAGGTAGCAACCACACGTTGTTGGATCCTGACCCATTTCTTGTAAAACTTGCATTTCTTTCCTTATGAGGCCGAATGCTTTAAACGTGATTGATCTGTTCAGATTAACAAACAACGTATCTCCAAGGGTGTCTGTGTTGGATTTAGTAGCGTTAACTCTCGCTACTTTCTTAATCTCACAGATTTGGCCTTCCATCACCTTGTGAAGTTTCTCCAGTACGGTATCGAATGGGTACCGACCACCATCTAAATGTCGTTTGACGCGATGATGTTCTCCTTCGACCCTGCATTACCAATTGAACTTGAATATTAATTATTAATGTTGACTACATGTAACGATTATTTAGTCACGTAAATCTCACAAGGCTTACCTATTTGTTGTGTAGCTTCCGAAGTGAAAATAATGGTCGATGTAAGCTGACAGGATTTTTTGGGAATGCGGACTAATCCATGTGTCAATGCAGTAGTTCAGCAATGCTCCCCAACTCGAGTAATGTGCTGCCAGACGTCCCCATCTATCATTAAAGTCATCTATGGTCGGTGCACTTATCGCCCAATTCCAACGAAATTTAAATCCTTCTGCCGCCTCTTTTAAAAAACCAGGTTGCTGCAGTGCTCGTTGTAGCACGCATTGCTCAATGTGACGGCGACACAAATGATGCCTGGATTCCGGGAAAACATACTCGACAGCATGCATCAAGGCGTAATCTCGGTCTGTTACAATGACATTAGGTGTCACTTGGCTAACGAACAAAGTACGGATAAACTGTAACACAAACCTGCAAAATAATATAACATTAATAATTTTAAATTTAAACGTAGGACAAAATAACTGTACTAAATAATTGTCAATTGTAATTTATAACAACAAATTAACATAATAACAATATTAATGACAATACTACAATAACAATGTTAATAACAATAATAATACTATAATAAGTCCTAATTAAACAATATAATAATTTTCATAACAGTAACAACTCCTAATAATACTATAATAAGTTCTAATTAAACAATATAACAATAAAAAAATAACAATATAATAATGTTCATAAAAATAATAACTCCTAATTATACAATACTAATAATGTTCAATAAAAATAATAACTCCTAATTAAACAATTCTAATAATGTTCATAAAAATAATAACTCCTCCTAATTAAACAATTCTAATAATGTTCATAAAAATAATAACTCCTAATTAAACAATACTAATAACGTTCCAATAAAAATAATAACTCCTAATTCAACAATTCTAATAATGTTCATAAAAATAATAACTCCTAATTAAACAATACTAATAATGTTCCAATAAAAATAATAACTCCTAATTCAACAATTCTAATAATGTTCATAAAAATAATAACTCCTCCTAATTCAACAATTCTAATAATGTTCATAAAAATAATAACTCCTAATTAAACAATACTAATAATGTTCAATAAAAATAATAACTCCTAATTAAACAATTCTAATAATGTTCATAAAAATAATAACAACTCCTAATTAAACAATTCTAATAATGTTCATAAAAATAATAACTCCTCCTAATTAAACAATTCTAATAATGTTCATAAAAATAATAACTCCTCCTAATTCAACAATTCTAATAATGTTCATAAAAATAATAACTCCTAATTAAACAATACTAATAATGTTCATAACAATATTAACTCCTCCTAAATATTCAATTTAACATTATTCATAACATTGACAAACAATTGTACTAAATAATGTTAATTAACAATTTTAAATTTAAACATATGACAAAAATTAAAATTCATTAAGACACAAACCTGTAGTTTTCTTGTCTCTCATTTCGCATGAATGCGTAGGCGATAGTGAACGTTTTGTCCGTACTTGTTGCACCGACCACTTCTAGTAGAGGTATGTCATACTCATTGGTGTTGTATGTACAATCAATCATCATGACTTCCGGATATGCATTCACCATCACAAAAGAAGCCGGGTGGCAGAAAACAATATCTCCAAGTTCGGAAGATTCATCAGCAGTCCGAACGTCGTACATGTAGTTCAATTGCCTGAGTAAATGGATGAAATTATTCATCGGGGTCCGACCTTCTCTTTTCTGGGCACGCACCTTATTGAGTCATTGACAGCATTGTAAACTTGTTTCTGACACGATTTGTTCTCCGGATCAGCCCTTTTCATGGACGCCAACATATTACTCGGGCTTAAATTAAAATTCTCTTGCTCCCTAATAACTTCAAGTTGAATAGGGGATATTTTACCTAAACGAGATCCCACAGCATGAGACGGGAATGGATGGTTGTGTCTCCCCTCCCGGACTTCAAAGTACCAGCGCCCTCCAGGGTACTCCATTCCGTCCAACCAAAATGGACAATTATTTTTTGTCGTTTTAGTGGACCTAGTTCCAGTAACCTTTTTTGGTCTGTATCCGCCACCTTGGCTACATAAATATCGAACTTTGGGCCGTCGGCCGTCTTTTTCCTTCGAATCACGAATTGCCAAAGTAACGTTCCTCAAGCCAGCAACATATCTTACATGAGCATCCATGTCCTCTCTACTAGCAAAACCTCCTTCCGGATTACCGAAATCGGTTGAAATGTCTTCAAACTCTACATATGAACTATGATCCTGGAATGGATCACTTTGTGTTTCGTCGATGACGAATTCAACTTCATCAAGATTTATGGAGTTGTAATCTCCAGAATTCATATTGTTTGTGATTGTAATTGTAAGTGTTTGAGTTGTGAGTGTTTGAGTTGTGATTGTGATTTGAAAAACTTAAACTGTTGGCCTTTTTATAGGTAAAAATCTAAGGGGTCAAAATCAATTTTGAGTGGTGTAATTTATTTTTGAAAAAACGATTTTATGTAATTTGTGTAAATTGTATTGGAAATTCAAATTAGTCAAAAATTCGAATTTCTGAAAGCTCACTGACCGAGGCAAACATTTAGTTGTGAATTCTTTTTGTCTTTTGGTTAATACAGAGAAATTACAATTGAACTCGTGCTCTCTGTGATAAAGCAACTCATTGGATTCATCCCATGTGGCCTTATACTTAATAAGTTAATATAGCCATATATTTAACAAGGAAAAAATAAATATAATGAATGAATCCAATGTGCATTTAATAACATTCCGAACTTTGGACCTTATCACATTCCGAGTCAAGTGGATTTAGTAACTCTGTGCATTTTAATAACATTCCGAGTCAATGTGCATTTAATAACTCTGTGATAAAGCATACAAAAGGGTATTTTTGGCAATCCAACTCCCAAAATTACTGTTTGGGAGTGGATATAGCAATCGTGCCCACCCACCCACCGAAAAAAAAGGCGAACAATGGAAAACAATATATTTTTTTTATTTTTATAGATTTAATAAAAGATGGCCTTGGATCTGTTAATCTCAGAAAATTAATTAAGGTGAGCTGCTCACATGTGCTGCCTCTAAGTTGCCTGCTCATCCACCACGTGATATAGGGAGAACATGAAGCAGAAAAAAAAACATCATTAGGGTTGTCAAACACAGGAATAAAAAAATAAAATAAAAATATCTCTTTTCCTGAAACTAACTACTAAACAAATATAACCAAGCATAATTTCAGGTTAAACATGTCTATGGCAGGTGCCAGCCTCAATTTGGAGACAAAAAACAAATTTCATTTCAATCAGAGAGAAAAAAGGGGAGGAAACCTCTAAAGCTATAAGTTCGAAAAGGAGAAATTTCATTGAATAAGAAAAGAAAACTCCCCTACAAGGCATTTTGGTCTACGGCCCTGCATTTTCCAGTGCTATGACATGAAAACACTACTTGGTTGGGATTCAAATAAGCTGAGCACCCCATGCATTGTTCAGCAAAGTCAACTGAAAATGCAGCCATTAGCTACAATTCTGCCCACTTAAGAAAAAGGGTCTATAAGTCTCACCCTTTGTGGCTCATATTGTAGTCTTCTCTGTCTGGGATCCCTCCTATCAGAAGCTACAGGATTCCTGGATCTTAAACATCTAAGGTCAAGTGCTACATGAAGAGACCATTCAAAATTATTGACAAAAATTAGGAACAGGTCAATATATAATTAGTGAAGCACAAGTAAACAGAAACCATTCGAAATTATCACTGGAATGCATGAAGGAGGTGGATTTTTTATTTTTTTTTGCAATAATCCGTAGTCAGAGCTACTATGCGCAGTGGTATTATGTCATGTAGACTGTATGGAAATGGCAAAATAATAACCAACTGCGGTGTCTCTATCAATTATATTAACAAAAATTACGAACATGAATAATTGAAATCATAGATTCGGTGGTGGAACTGGCAGGTAATCTCTGTGCTAGATGGTCAACTTGTACTAAATCCTACCATACGGTATCACTAGTTCTACTGTATTCGACATTAACCATACTAAAAACTTCAACAAAAAATTTAATATAAGAAGAAAGCAATATATCTAAGAGTCACACAAAAAAAATAAAAAAATAGAAGCAAGTAGGAGCTAGGACCACTTTCAATACTATAGTGTCTAAATTAAGCATACCGAATCACTGATCTTCCCATTAAACTTGTCAAATATTATTCTTTATCATTTAATTTTTAATATTGTTACGGCAGAAGAAAGAATGCCTCAACGGAATGTGTAGAAATTGGCAGTTGATGGCTCAGAACAGACAGTTGACAAGTTGGCGGTCGACCGTGGCGGTCGACCGTGTTCGTGCACAGGGTTCACTATGCGT